GTGTGTGTGTGTGTGTGTGTGTGTGTGTGTGTGTGTGTGTGTGTGTGTGTGTGTAGTATGTGTGTGTGTGTGTGTGTGTGTGTGTGTGTGTGTGTGTGCATGTGTGTGTGTGCATGTCTGTGTATGTGCACGTCTGCGTGTGTGTATGCATATGTATGTTTGTGTCCCTCAGACTGCTTTTATCAGCGGGCATTCCCCAGGCTGATTAACAGCATTCCTACAATTGTGTAGTTCGTTATTCACTGTCCGTAGGGCAAAGTTATTCTGAAATACAACCTATAGCTCTTTCTTCTCTTACCGGCAGATGCGCTCAATTCTTTCTCCTCCTCCTTCTTATCTCTTTACCCACATGCATGCATGTATGCGTGTGCGTATATGTAAATGCAAACCGTTGTTACCCTAACTGCTACACACTGCTGCTTCTCTCTCTATGCATTTCGATTTTGCTGCATCTGTTTGAATGCATCTATGTGTATGTGTCTAAGTTTCTCTGTGTCCCTGTTTCTCTATGTCAGTTTGTATGTGTGCATAATGCAACTGGATAACATCAACCGCAAGGGCCATGTGTATGTGTGCTGCTATCTACCGCAACAACCATGGCAACCGTTGGACTATCTATGGAGAGGTTCTGTTGCTGGTACCTCTTTGCGGTTTCTGAGGTGGCTACTGGTTACATATGGTATTGTGGTGCAGACTATCGATATCTCTTCCTGGGTTCTTGGCAATTCTTTTCTAAGTTATATGTAACAGTGTGTCTTCGTTTTCTGAACTGTAAAAGTAGTCTCACCTCCACCTTTTCAAAAAAGTATATAATTCCAATCTTTTCCGGTTTCGATAACTCGGGAAATTGTCATGTTCATAACTATTATTTTCAGACTTCTCCCGCATCCACTAATTTCAGAGTGTATAATTGCAGATTGAGTACCGTCTACAGTGGGGATAATTACTGTTACCACTATTGCTGTTCCGACAGTCGCTTCTACAACTTATTTTTGTTACTATCCTGACTGCTTTCCTTTATCTCTCTGTTCCAATTTGTTCCGTAAGAACTAAGAAGAGAGGCATATTATTATCACTGACTCATCGTATTTATTGTTTTCATTGGATACAAACACCTTTAATAATAACCATTTCTTATCATAAAGGCAGCATAACGTACTATCATTTTATCGATACATTTATACGGCATCTACCAAATAATCTGAAATAACGGGAAGCGAGAGAAACATTGAAGAAGGAACGAAATAGAAAAGACGGTTCGGTATGAGCGAATTGGATCAGCTCAGGCAAGAAGCCGAACAGCTCAAAAGTCAAATCAGGGTATCCTTTTTACATTATATGCTACACCTCTTCTGCCTTTAAAGTCTCTCCGATCAGGTTCTGCAGGGTTTTCATGTTCTTCTCTGTTAGACAACCTTATTTGGACGACCGACAACCTATATCTGACCTTAATAAACGCTAAATGTTTGGCCATATTTACTCACAAACATATTCGCATAGAATTTCGCAGACGAACAGCTTGTTCGCATAGTGAACCATTTTAAAATAATTTATGGGCAACTATGCTTAATGAAACTGGACACACTTTAAGAAAGGACGAAAGACATCCTGTAATCCTCATGTAATAATAGACAATGTATTTGTAGGATCATGTAGATCTTTTTTTTAAAATAATAGGAGCTGCTGATTTTGCTTTAATGTTTTATGTAAATGCTTCTTTACTAGAATATCAGAAATGGTGATTTTCATTTGTTTGGAAAATTGGGCAAGGAATAATGCGTAGTTATATTCATCGTTATTCCTTATTTTCCTTAGGGCGATACTTTTGGTGGATATTTTAACCAATTAGTTTTTTAGCATGTGTTGGTAGGGTATGGAACAGTTTTCCCAAAACAGTCTTGTGCTCCTCTCGAAATGCTGAAAGGTTGCATACTTGCATTTGGAGAGAGTCTGGTTTTTAGGGTGGTAAGTAATATAAAATAAGAGGGAGTATGAGCTCAAGAGTCCCGGTCTTCTTTTTGATTTTCTGTACTTTTTACGTGGTGATTTGAAAAAACGTTTTTTTCACACTCCAGTTACGCTTACCACTTGTAGTTTCGGAAATTTCTGAGTTAGTGCATCATTGTCATTTAGTTGTTTACTCGAAATGCAGGTAACTGGAAATACTTGGGGCGGGTTTTAAAGTCATCTGCAAATTTGGAGAGTGGTGTAATGATTAGCAAAAAGCAAATGGTATGTCTGATAATCTGATTTATTTGCAGGAAGCTCGTAAAGCTGCTAGTGACACGACGTTGGCTTCTGTGGCCGCCAATCTAGAACCAATTGGACGGATCCAGATGCGTACGCGACGGACACTGCGAGGACATTTGGCTAAAATTTATGCAATGCATTGGGCATCTGACTCTCGAAATCTTGTCTCCGCCTCACAGGATGGCAAATTGATAGTTTGGGACTCTTATACTACAAACAAGGTAAATTATTTGATATTATTGTCTTTTATTATGTATACAAATGGTCCCTTTTTTTAGTTCGTGCCCAATATCTAGTACGACATTGGATCGTATTTGTTGGGGGAGGTAAGGCACCGTATTCAATTCCACTGTTTTGGTAATCTCGGATTATCATTCCTTTGTTGAAGTTCGTAGCCACTTTAAAATGCATTCATCAACAAAAGAAAATTCTTTATTGAAATCAATTGCTATATTGTTGATGAACAAAGCTCGTTTTGATATTATTGTCTTTTATTATGCATACAAATGGTCCCTATTTTAAGGCTGCCTTTCCTTTCCTACTTGATAGTCATTTCTGATTTGATGGAGTCATCAGATTTTCTGGATATTGTTATATGTTTATAAATAGGTGCTATTATCACAACACTGTTGCACTGCTGATGCCTTCAGTTGTTTATGTCATAGAAATCAGAGTTCATTGGGTTCTGGAGGCATTAGTTGATAATTCATTCCCTTCTGTGGTTTGAAGCCGGTTGTGATCCTTTTTAATACTCTTGGGTAAAACAACACTGGGGATGCTTTCATGATTAATTTATAGATACATAGATGCATTGATTAAAGCTTGATAAAAATATATTTTCAGTAACTAAATGGTACACAAATTATAAACAGATAATATAGAGACAGAGTTTATTACAGACGAGAATACAGCTTTCTTTAATAACCAGAGTTTATTACCATCTCTATAATGCGAAAAATTCCGCAGCTCCTTTCTGTTTTTAGTCGAGAACTGAGGCTACTTGGTCATCAAAGCAGGTTGGTTAGTGCGTAACGCAAAATAGGCATGAATCAGCATGTTAGGTGTGAAATTCGCGACTGTCATTATAAATTTATTAATGTTCATGTTCTTTCACTACATTTTTACTTGTCAGCTGTTGAAGGGACGTAATTTTATATGTGTTCGTACAAAGGTCGGTAGAACGGCAGGAGAGGTGATTTATTTGGTATATTAGTATCTTAATATCATCAGTAACGGGTACTAAGGACAAATAATCGTTGATGATTCCGTCGAAATCCACCCTGTTAGCATATATTGAATTTAGTTGGTCTTGGAAATTGAAAGTTCGGAGTGTGGCTGTGCAAAATTTAGCATTGAGGTATTATCTGCAGACAGCAGATGACACTTCGAAAATCACACCTTTTCTGCCAGCATGATTACTTACTACTTGTAGGTATTGGAAATATAAGTGATCAATGGATAATCATGCTGAGGTGGTAATCAGCATTTGATGTCATTATTTTGGTGGTCGCTAATACAGGCGATCACTGAAGTATATTAGGAGGGAAGTCGGTTTTTCTCTTGATTAACTTGTCGTTATATGTCCTCAACTTCGCGTTTTTTAAAATGTCAAATTCGAGTTTTACCAAAAAGTCCCGTCAGTTATTTTTGAAGTCTTTATTTATGCGCACAAACTTTTGCCATTTTTTGCTCCACAAAGCGTTTCTTTTGCTTTGGTCTTTATCATTCCGTCTACTCTCGAACATGATAGGAAAGGAGCTTGATTCGAAGTGAATACATTCGTAGACCATTGCAAATGCATTTTTTTTTTCTGTGCAATTTCCTTTAGCATTGAATTAGTATTTTGCCTCGTGTAACTGGGAGCTAATTATTCTGAGTCATCAGTAAAACATAACCTGCACTGCTGTTGCCTGGTAACTAGCACATATATTAGTCATGTTTATCCCTTGCTTACCTATACTTATCTCCGAAGTACTATTCTATCACAGTTTGGCAAAAATATATTAAATAATGTAACATGCGAAGTACTTTTTTCAAAGAGCAGGGAAGAAAGAATAATTCGCACCTTGAAGAAGTGCAACACTCGTTGAATTACCGTTTTCCACTTATTTTTCTGCATCCCATCGAATGTTTAGTATTTTTATTTCAGAAAGCACAAATAACCGCGTTTATTTTCAATCTTATCGGCTAATAAGACATTTGAGGGAATTGAATTATATACCACACTCATTATACTATGCATTCGTATGTTATAATAGCAAGTCAAAACCAAAGACTTGCGTTTCTGGCTGTTATAGGTTGAAAATTTAGTATAGTTCTCTTATTGTATTATTTCTTTATTAGGTAACATTCACAAAAGTGAATTTTATAAAATATATAAAAAAAATAATAGTCTTAGGACTTTTCTATGCCCTTTTTCGATTTAACTTAAACAGTTGAAGCATATGGATGGATGTTTCAATGCAGTATAAGAAAATCTTTCTGAGAACTCGAATAATTGTTGCTGTTGACAGATTAGCTATATTTATTCGGTAGCTTGTTGATGAGAGACAAAGAAATGAATAAAGAACAGAGAAGGATGAATTTAGGATTAATATTTGTAAAGTCTTTACACCTTGAAACCATTCCGCTGTGTGGTATATATCTTATTTCAATATCCAGTCACTGCTTTCAAACAAACCTGCATGTTCTCTAGGTTGATTTCTGATTCTTCCAAGTTTCATCTTGTTTCAGGTTCATGCAATCCCGTTACGATCGTCGTGGGTGATGACATGTGCATATGCGCCATCCGGTTCTTATGTTGCTTGTGGTGGTCTCGATAATATTTGTAGCATTTACTCACTAAAAACACGCGAAGGTAATGTGCGTGTTTCGCGTGAATTACCAGGTCATACGGGTTATCTGTCATGCTGTAGGTTCCTCGACGACAATCAAATTGTTACCTCGAGTGGTGATATGACATGGTAAGTCATGTCTCTCCTCTTTTAATTATTATGCTTTGAAGAAGATTTCAAGCATAAACGTACTTGGATGTGAATTTTGAACTTTGCTGTAATTTGAGTCTCGTAATGTCATTTTGTGATGAACAGGGGTTTTTTAATACATAAATGCTCTTACTTTTCCTGGAGCGATTTATAAATGTGTATCTTTGGTTTCTAATTTGCATTTTTCTAGAAGTTGAACAAATTCCTCTTAAAGTCTGTAGCAGAAAGTACTGCGAAATTTTAAACATCGTGAATTGTGAACATATCAACGAACCACTTCTTATTACATAGCTGGCATTCAAATAGATCCAAAATTGGTTGATATTTCGAGAGACAGTGGCACAATATTTAGTAGACATTTGAATGTTATCATATTGGTTTTCGTAGCTTATCTTTCTCGCCTTCTTGCTCTACAGTTGTTTCATCCTCATTATATTTTAATATGGTTGTGGTTGAGAAGTTTTCAAGTGCTCTGACATATTAAAGTTTAATGTTTGACGAAATTAAAGAAGTATGTTTAGTGCCAATATGGTGTATTAATAAAAAATGGTATTGTAGGAACATGCCAGTTCTGTTCCAAACAAACTAATTAGATTCAGCTTTTCATATTAATTTGTTTTTATTCAGAAATAGGAAATAGTTTTATTCTTCACTAATGGTAAGCTAATACTTACTGTGTTTCTGATTTAGCGGTCAAGATACTGCTGTTTTTGCTTAGTGTCCTTACCAAACAACGTGAGTTGATGTCAACTAGGGATTCAATTTGTGACCCATTTTATAGCTGAAAGCCAATAGCAGAAACTTCGCCAATATATTAATAGTTCTTGCGATATCAGTTCAAATATACACACATCTACATATGCGTACACATGCAAGTTTTGTTTCCTAAAGCTAGTTCTTCCTATGTTTTTAAAAAGAAAGTAGAAAGCTAAGTTGTGCGCGTAGTGGTTGGTGATTAATTGCATTTTCGACCGGTCGACGAAGTAATAGTATATTAATAATAGCTGCCAGCTCTCTCTTTTTATTGGCTTGGCTACTCACATCATAGCTTAAGCAAAAGTTCAATTTTCTGATGTTTCTAAAAAGGATGTTCAACCCCCTCTTCCATCCTGAAAAAGATGCTTAACTCTCTCACTCCCCTTTGATCAGTATATTGTTATGTTATTATATTCCTTGCTAGTTATCCTCTTCTCTCTTTCTTGACTAAGCGCACCCATTCTTTGATGGCCACGAAATCGATTTTTAGTTGAAAGTTTAAAGCTTTCTTCAAAGATGATAAGCTAAGAAACTTTCTGGCCTCTATTCGTGCTGCATCTCTGTCTTTCTGATCATCCGACCACGTAATGTACACTATATCCTTAAATCAGTTCGTGTTTAACAACCACCCATATAATACATATACGTATATATATATATATATATATATATATATATATATATATATATATACGTACGTAGAGTACTACTACTTACTTATTAGTTAGTTAGTTAGTTAAGTAAGTAAGTAAGTAAGTAAGT